TCGCCCTGCGGCTCTGTGTGTGACAGGGGGCGGGGCCACAACCTCCCTATCCGCCCTGCTCTGTTCGTGACAGGGGAAGGCGCCCCAACCCCCTGATCAGCCCTGCTCTGTGCGTGACAGTGGGGAGCTCCCCAACCCCCTGATCGCCCTGAAGCTCTGTGTGTGACAGGAGGCGGGGCCACAACCACCCTATCCGCCCTGCTCTGTTTGTGACAGGGTGTGGCGCCCCAACCCCCTGATCGGCCCTGCTCTGTGGGTGATAGAGGGCGGCACCCCAACCCCTCCCCACGGGCCCTGCTCTGTGTGTGACGGGATAGAGCCATAACCTCCCCATCGGCCCTGCCCTGAGTGTGACAGTGGCGGCGCCCCATCCCCCTGATCGGCCCTGCTCTGTGGGTGATAGACGGCAGTGCCCCAACCCCCTGATCGGCCCTGCTCTGTGGGTGATAGAGGGTGGTGCCCAAACCCCCTGATCGTCCTGCGGCTGTGTGTGTGACAGGGGGCGGTGCCCCAACTCCCCTATTGGCCCTACTCTGTGAGTGACAGGGGGGAGCTCCTCAACCCCCTGATCAGCCCTGCTCTGTGCGTGACAGTGGGGAGCTCCCCAACCCCCTGATCGACCCTGCTCTGTGCATGACAGGGTACGGAACCCCAACCCCCCTGATTGGCCCTGCTCTGTGCGTGACAGGGGGTGGCACCGCAACCCCCCAATCGGCCCTACCCTGAGCGTGACTGAGGGTGGCATCGCAACCTCCCAATCTGCCCTGCTCTGTGCATGACAGGGGGCGGCGCCCCAACTCCCCAATCAGCCCTGTTCTGAGCCCTACCAGGGGCTGCACCTAGAGATTGGGCATGCCCTCTGCCACCCGGGAGCAGGCCTAAGCCAGCAGGTCGTTATCTCCTGAGGGGTCCCAGACTGCAAGAGGGCACAGGCTGGGCTGAGGGACCCTCCCTCCCTCCCCCCCCCCCCCCGAGTGCACAAATTTTTGTGCAACGGGCCTCTAGTAGTACTATATTAAGCTATTGTTTACTCAGTTATAACCTTCGTTTTCACTAGCAGTAAGATAATAAAGCATACACTATAGCATAGTTATAAGTTAATCACACCTTCAGGACATATAGAGGCACTACTTAGTGTATTCGATTTTACATGTTAGAATTAGTTTATGAAATCTTGTTTCTCGATGCGCTCTGAATCTTAACTAAAGTATCTCCAGGGCTGAATAAATATTGATGTTAAATATGTAGTGATCATTGTAAACTGCCAGTCAAGGTGTGCATAACCTTATACATAAGATGACAGATAAATAGGTGTAAGAAAAAGTCCCACACTCTCAAAATCTCTCCCAAATTCAGACAATCAGCTATTTCAATATTCGAATGAATAAATAAGCAGCATTGGGAGATTGGAGATTGGTAGGTAGAGAAGTTGAAGTATCAAATGTATAATAGTCTCTTTATATCTTAGTTTCTCTTTTTTCTAACCCAGGATCCAATCAAGGATTATGCACTGCATTTGGTTATCAGATCTCTTAAGTCTCATTTAATCTAAAGATCCCCTCCTACTTTGTTCTGTCTTTTATGATATTGGCATTTTGAAGAGTCCAGGCCAGTTGTCATACAATATTGCACATTGTGGATTTCCTTGTTGTTTTTTCATTATTTCAAGTTCAAACTAAGCATTTTGGTAAGAATACCATATAGATGTGTATTTCTCATTGTAACACATCAGGAGGCACCAAATGTCAGTCCCATTATGGGGAAGCTAAGTTTAATCACTTGGTTAAGGTCATGTCTTCCAGACTGTTTGTTATAGTATAAAGGTCATCTTTTTCCCTTATAACTAATAATAAATAATTTTGGGGGGATAATTTGAGACAATATGAATACCTTCCTGCCTTATAACCTTTCCTTGATGGTTTTAATATCCATTAAGTTTCCCTACTAATATTAATTATTATGTCTATTATCCTTGCTGATTTTATTAGCTTGGATATATACTGAGTGGCCAGATTATTATGACCACCTGACGTTTGTAGGCAAATTAGCCGTACACTGCATCGTATGGGATATGGGAGCTGAAGGCCTGTTTGAACACCTTTGCTGTCTGCAGTTACCAAGATAAAATGTCTCCAATTCGCACAGGAACACAAGGATTGGACAGTTGAGCATTGGAAAAAAGTCATGTGGTTTGATGAATCACATTTCCAGTTGCATCATGCAGATGGCAGAGTGAGAATTTGGGGAAACAGCATGAAAACATGAACCCCACATGCATGAGTACAACCCTTCAAGCTGGTGGGGCAGTGTTATGGTTTAGGGCATGTTTTCCTGGCATGATTTGGGCTCTTTAATTCGTATGGAACAACGTCTGAATAGCACAACATACCTAAGTATCGTTGCTGATCAAGTTCATCCTATCATGTTGATGGCATATCCCAATGGAAATGGCTTCTTCCAACAAGACAATGCACCATGCAACGGTGCTCACATTGTGCAGGAATGGTTTGAAGAACATGAGGGAGACTTTGCCTTGCTTAGGTGGCCCCCACAATCATCAGATCTCAATCCAATTGAGCATTTGTGGGACTAAGTTAAAAGAGCCATCAGGCAGCTGGTTCCACAACCATCAAGTCTCACAGAACTGGACAGTGCTATTCATCACGCATGGTGTCAGATTCCTCACATCACCTTTCAACATCTCGTGGAGTCAGTGCCAAGAAGAATAGCCACAGTATTGATGGAAAAAGGTGGCCCAACAAAGTACTGATGGGGTGGTCATAATAATCTGGCCACTCAGTGTGTGTATATCTATATATCTATATATATTTATATACTAGAGGCCCAGTGCACAAAAATTTGTGCACTCGGGGGGGAGGGGGAGGGTCCCTCAGCCTGGCCTGTGCCCTCTTGCTGTCTGGGACCCCTGGGGAGATAACGACCTGCTGGCTTAGGCCTGCTCCCGGGTGGCAGAGGGCAGGCCTAATCCCTAGGTGCAGCCCCTGGTCGGGCTCAGAACAGGGCTGATTGGGGAGTTGGGGCGCCGCCCCCTGTCATGCACAGAGCAGGGCAGATTGGGAGGTTGTGATGCCACCCTCAGTCACGCTCAGGGTAAGGCCAATTGGGGGGTTGGGGCACCGTCCCCTGTCACACTCAAGGCAGGGTCAATGGGGAAGTTGCGGCGCCACCCCCTGTCACGCACAGAGCAGGGTCAATCAGGGGGTTGGAGCGCTGCCCCTGTCACACACACAGCAGGGCCCATCAGGGGGTTGGGGCACTGCCCTCTATCACCCACAGAGCAGGGCCGATCAGGGTGTTGGGGCGCCACCACTCTCACACTCAGGGCAGGGCCAATGGGGAGGTTATGGCTCTACCCCGTCACACACAGAGCAGGGCCCGTGGGGGGGGGGGGGTTGGAGAGCTCCCCCCTATCAGGCACAGAGCAGGGCTGCTCAGGGGGTTGTGGCCCCGCCCCCTGTCACACACAGAGCCACAGGGCAATCAGGGGGTTTGGGCGCTGCCCCCTGTCATGCTGATCCTGGTGCCAGGAGGCATATTACCCTTTTACTATATAGAATATAGGCCTGGTGCATGGGTGGGGCCAGCTGGTTTGCCCTGAAGGGTGTCCTGGATCAGGGTGGGGGGTCCCCACTGGGGTGCCTGGCCAGCCTGGGTGAGGGGATGATGGCTATTTGCAGCTGGTCACACACCCTTAAGGGTGGGGGTCCCCACTGGGGTGCCTGGCCAGTCTGTGTGAGGGGCTGAGGGCTGTTTTCAGGCTGGGAGTGACTGAAGCTCCCAACTGCTCCTTTTTTTCTTTTTTCTTTTTTTATTCTGGGCCAACTTTACCTTGAGGCTTGGCTCCAGCTCTTAGGCCTCCACGGCTGAAAGTAGGTTTCTGGCCTTTGCTTACAATGTTGCGAATCTGCTGGCTGAAGTCAGGCGGTATTTGTTACAATGTTTCTTAAACTGCCCGCTCAGAGGCCTGCAGCCGCAGGCGGGGAACGTTGGTTTCCTCCAAAGATCCTCCGTCACTGAGGCAAGCAAGCCTCATGTTAGTTTCAAGCTGCCTGGCTGCTGGCCGCCATCTTGGCTGACAGTTAATTTGCATATCACCCTGATTAGCCAATGGAAAGGGTAGCGGTCGTACGCCAATTACCATGTTTCTCTTTTATTAGTGTAGATACTGAGTGGCCAGATTATTATGACCACCCCATCAGTACAATGAAGTGAATTAATTATGCAAATAATAATAATAATAATAATAATAATAAAACCTTGAGAGTATTTGCTTAGGAAGTTTTCAATATTCAGTATTTTTTAGAAGTGTCAATGAAGTACTGATGGGGTGGTCATAATAATCTGGCCACTCAGTGTGTGTGTGTTTGTGTATGTGTGTGTGTGTGTGTGTGTATCTATATAGATAGATATAGATATATATAAATATATATACATATATAGGTATATAGATATATATAGGTGTACTATTTTACTATATGTTGCAAAATCCCCTTCATAGCGATTATAACATTATTCATTCCCATTTCTTTCCAAGGATAGTGTCAGCTGATATCTAGTTCAATATACTTAAAGTTATAAATGCCTATGCTGACAAAGATTTTATCTTTTATAAATGGTAGCCCTGAAAGCAATTACCTGTTATGTAGCCAGTTAGTATGTCTTGGATAATTGACTGATTTTGTAGTTATTGGTTTAAATTTTTGTTAGTTTCATAAATGTATATTTATGCATATGTAAATATTAACTACTACGATCCAAATTAAATTGTTGGCTCAAACAGGGTCTCAGTAATATCTGTTATTTGAGTAGTTTAAATAAAAATTCCAAGGATTTATGAGTTGATTTTATAATGTTTTAAAAATAATCATCTGAGAAATTTGTCATTAGAGGAGAGTTTTGATTCAGTTTCAGTCTCCACTGATATTTTTTTTCTCTTAAATGTGACATTGAAGTGTAATATTTCTTTATACTTTTATTAGATCGGGAAATGCCGAAGAATCTCGCCCTTGGCATTCAGTGCGATAGCTTCCTCATTGAGACTGCTGCCTTCAAGCTTAGTATGGATCACTCACACGGTACAGAATTTCTACCTTATATTCTGTTATTCTATCTGCTATCACATTTTAGAGAAGATGAACTATGTCTGATGTCTTAATAAATATTTGATAAAAATTAAATGCACCAATTAAAAATTTTGACAAATTTTAATAAGTTGATAGAAAAACATGGATAGTGTAAACTTTATGTATATTCATTTTATCTTTGCTATTTTTCTTTATATATCACATAAGTACAACTTGTAAAGTAGTTGACTATCCTACCACTTAATCCATAAGTGTGTGAGCCAAAGATGATTTTGGAAAATTAAAAATAGCTAGTGTACTAAAGTTACTCATACTTATGAAAAATAATTGCATCTTTGCAAAGCTAATGATTCCCTGAAAAATTATTATAGGGTAGACATCTATTTTTACGTATATTAATCATCCCACCTTCATACTGATGAATAGGAAAAAAATCTAAGGCATAAGAAATAATTAAGTTGCTTAAAAATCAAAAGCCCCCAAAATATGAATTTCTTTAAAATGTTTTAAAATAATGTTTTTAATTGCAAAAAATATAATAATAGTTATGTAAATATGATAAAATATTAATTATATTAACATGCAGAAGTAGTAACTGAAATCAGTAACCACTACTAACACCCCAATACAAATAGGTTCATGACTTTCATTTATATTTACTGTATTCATTTCTATCAGCATCCTAAATCTCATTAATTCACAACTCCATGAGGTGGGTGTTAGTATTATTGTTATTGAATCAAGGAGATTGCAATTCAACAACATTAACTTACATTAAATCAAAACAGTTGCTTAATGGCAAAGTTGAACTTCTTGTGTATTACTTCAAACTCTTCTTTTATTTATTTGCAATATATTAAAATGAGTAAAAACAACCTTTCAAAAAAGAGGAAGTACAGATGGCCAAAGAATGAAACTATGTTCAAGATCACTAATATTTAAATAGATGTTGATTTAAATGATAGCCTTCTAAATATTGCCCCCCCCCCATTATTATATACCATACTGTAGCACTAGAGAACAAGGTGCTGCTTTATAAATCTACATATGCATAAAATTCACTCTATGACCTTGGGAAGGGCAGCCAAAATACAGGGATTAGGCTTTAAACTTCTTAGTCTGGGAATTTGTGTTCTGGTTTTGACTGTACCATGGGAAACTGTATTAGCTTGAGCTATTTTCTGTACTTTCTAGACCCCATTTTGGACATTATAAAGAATGAAAAATCAGTTTTACCTAATAAGAGATTTATTTGAAGTACAAATGCAATTACTTATGTGAATACATGTCTAAGCCCTAATTTATATATAAGTATGGGTTATTAGTATTGTTTGTATAAGTGAAGATAGCTAAATACAAAGATGATTCCTGATTTTTTTGTTGTTGTTTTATAACAAACTAGAGGCCCAGTGCACGAATTTGTGCATGGGTGGGGTCGCTTGGCCTGGCCGGCGATCAGGGCCAATTGGGGCCATCTCGCCCAGTCCTGTTTGGGGCTGATCGGGGCAGCCAGCTGCAGGGAGGGACTGCAGGAGGTTGGCCGGCTGTAGGAGGTTGGCTGTAGGAATGCACTGACCACCAGGGGGAAGCTTCTGCATTGAGTGTCTTCCCCCTGGTGGTCAGGGAAGCTTCTGCATTGAGTGTCTTCCCCCTGGTGGTCAGTGCATGTCATAGCGACCAGTTGACTGGTCATTCAATCATTCGGTCACTTGGGCTTTTATATATATACCGTAGATAAGACCTAGTATACTGCCAGTACATGCCAGGGAATATATTTCATATATTTCTGAAAAATGAATTTAAAAATAAGTAACAATTTTTTGCTTCTGAAATTCATTTGTCATCTAGGTGAAACATTTACTAGACAAATTATTTTAATTTTCATCAATTGCTTATTGATTAAATAGTCTTGTTACCGTGGTGAATACCAGTTTTCTTGAAATGGATTTTTTACAGAACAGTAGATATCTGTATTTATATTAAATCTATATTTTAAAGTATCCAACTTTGTAGGTATATCTATATTTTTAAAATAATCAAACCTTGTTCTTCCTTATCATATTCCTAATTCTTTATATTCTCTATTTTATTCAGCATTTTAATTTTTAAAATATCACCAAATTTTAGTTATTCATTCATATTCCACCTTTACAAATTTTGGCACATCTTTGTGTCACCTAAATGATTATTTACTTAATAGTATTTTAATGGAAAACAGTGTTACTTGCCATGAGCAATAGCAATGCACTGTTTGCCAGGGTCTATTTAAGCGCTTTATAAATAGTAATTGATTTAGTCCTCCCAACAGTATGATAGATTCTATTAATACCCCGATGTTAGAGATGAATATACCGAGACATGTAGGAGTTAGTTCCAAGGTCACACCCCCAATATATGCTGGAGCTTGTCTTTGAATGTAGGACTTGTGCTCCTACCCAATTACTCAATACAGTCATAAATAGAAGATAGTTGTAAAACATCAATCAATAAATAATGAAATAAAAATTTTAAATATCTTCATATTTCACTCAGAAGTATTTTAATTATCACTGTTGCAAAACAGTTTTCCTGGGAAGCAGTCTCTGAGGAGGAGGTTATTGTGCAGGACATTTATTAGGGAGTGCTCTCATGGTCTACACCACTGGGGGAAGAAAATGAAACAAGACTGAACAGAGGGAGAAGATAGGTACAAAGGTTTCAGATAAAACATGGCAAGCACTGAAATTACTATAGCTCTTCAGAGTTGCCCCAATTTGGGATGAGGAGGCCAGGATATTATAGCTTCATCCTCCTTCCCCCACTGCCCACATCAATCCATTGTTAAGTGCAGTCTACCCTGAAAAGGAGTTTCAGTGACTCTTCAGCTGAAGGCAGTTCTCACAAAGCGCTGATATCTAGGTACTGTATGCTGGCCATAATCTCGATAGCTTGGCATATGAAGTCATGAAGATATATCTCTCTTTTTACTAGAAGTATTACTTACTTTTCCTGATACATACCTCAATAATTATAAATATGGTGACATATAGGAGTCAAGGGCCATTTTATTCATTATATATACCAGATCATCCTAGCACCTTTTACAGAAAAAGCATCCTGTCCTTCATTGAATTACAGTAACACTTTTCTCCCAAATCCAGTGACAGTATGTTTATGAGTCTGTTTCTGGACTCTCTCTTCAGTTCCAGTTGTTTATTCTTCTGTCTTTGCAATAATATCATACTGTCTTAACTATTACAACTATATGACAAGTCTGGATGTGGTAACATAAGTCTTCGAAAATGTTCCTGCTCTTTAACATTTTCTTAGTTATTCTAGATCCTTTGCACTTTCATGAGTTTTAGAATTTCCAGATACACCCCTGCTAGGACTTTAATTTGAATTGTATTGGAACTATACATTGATATGGGGGCAACTAGCATCTGAGAAATATTGAGTTATTGGGTCTTTTAATCTAAGAACATGGTACCTCCCTCCATTTATCCAAGTGGCTTTCTTTCTTTCAGATTTATTCTAAAGCCCATATTATCTCCCTGATTTGATATGTTAACATTGTCATGACTACACTGCCATATATACTTGGGTTCTTTCTGGGTTATCTCTACTATTCCACTAAACCTGTCTTAAAGACCAAAACTACACTGTCTCCATTAGAGAGGCTTTATAATGTGCTTTAATATGTGTGTAAGGATACCTCTTTCACATTACATTCTCTTTTCAGAGTTTTATTGGCTATTCTCCCCTGTTTCGTTATCCATATGAACTTTATACTAAACTTGACTACTTTTGGGAAGAAATCTGATAGAATATTTATTAGGGTTATTTAAAATTTAAATTATAACTAAATTATAATTTATATATATATAATTAAAATTAATTTATAACTTAAATTACAACTGTACATGTAGGAAAAAAATGACATTTCTGTGATAACTGAAACTATATCAATATACACTTTATGGATTTTTATTAGTTCACCAACTTTGTGTCTTCAGAAATGCTTAAATTTTATTTTTTAAATATTTGTTGCATGTGTTCTAATGATCAAAGCATGCTCAAATCCATTTTAGAGCACCTCTCAAAACAGTGATAGTATTAACAATATAGCTCACTCTTTCTGTGCTTTGATAGCAACAAAAAATATACAATTTGTCGTCTCATAATACAAGCTACTTTTGTGATTATTTATACTTAATATTTTATTTCTGAATTTAAATGCAAGAGCTCACTGTTATATTTTCTCATATGGCTTTCTAGATCATATAAAGGCTTTAGTTAAAACTATAAGTTTTCTCTGCTGAAGAAGGAAAATCCTTTAATCATTTTCATGAGAAAGATTAATATATTTAAAAGTATTATTACATAATGACTATTCTATCTCTTTAGTACTCTTGATATTCCATGATATAATGGCTAGCAATCAGCACACTATTCAAAACATTTTACACAATCTTAATAATTTCTATAAGGGCTAATTAAGTTTTATCTTTAATCTAAAATAAAATATTTAGAGCCTTAATTTAGATTGTTGTCATCAGAGTAATCACAATATCAAGGAATCCTTTTCTGGTTAGATAATGATTCCTCACAGAAAAGCAGATGGGAAGGATATATTTGACCATGTTGCTCTATTCCACTTAATCTTTTTCTTTAAAACAGCAGGTATATATGTTTTTACATAATTTTATATATGTATTATTAAAATTAACCAGACATAATTTTAGTTAGTGCCATTTTCATGTAACTTTAAAAAATTTCAGTATTCCACTTTATTTTTTTCTTAAATCTTTATTGTTGAAAGTATAGTGGGGCCTTGACTTACAAGTGTCCCAACTAACGAGTTTTTCGAGATACAAGCCGTCTCTCGGCCGATTTTTTGCTTTGAGTTGCGAGCTAAAATTTGGATTATGAGCCAGCTTCAGATACCCTACTGCTAGTTGGCGCAGCGAACGTCACAGTGAACGCCACAACATCAGCCCAGCATCACGTGT